AGCATAAATATAAAAATACAAATTACCTTCACGGCAAATAATTATGGATATCAAATTTAGATATAAATCTTTCAGTTATATAACTTATTTCATGAGAAATGAGCATCGGATATATCCTATTTTTTAATGAAATTACAATGCAAAACTCATTCCGCCTTTCGCTAATATTTGAAATGCATCATCAGCAGATCTAATTTTCCGCGTATTTACCTTTCGTAATATTCTGATAACCCATTTTCTATTGCCAAAATAGCCATTCCGTTCTTAAACTAACATCACGACCTTAGAAAATCACAGAAGTGCATTATTTGTTTTTTTTCCCATATTTTGTCGATAAGCGAACGACCATCGGTTCAGATCTACTTAAAATTATCCTGTTAATAATGTAATTTAAAAAATAAAAGTAATTAAAAATAAAATTATTGATTGTAAAAAAGGATGATTTATGTTTCAAATTATATTTAAAAAATAAAATTATTGTTTATTACAATGTGAGCCGCATTAAAGGGACCAAGTGTCACATGCAGCTTGTAAACCGCGGTTTGGGACATGTCTGTTATATAGTGTTAATATTATACAATATATTCGAAAGTTTTAGATTAAATATATTCGCACAGAAAACAAATTATGAAAGCATGTGACATATTAAATCATTCACAATTATAGAAAGAAATTTCTTTTCAATCTCACTTTTTCGTATTTACATTAAAGAAATTTACAAGCATTAAACTAAAATCACATATCTAAGAATATCCTCAAAAAATACAAAGTTACTGGCAATTAAAATATTTTCTTCCGATTTTTCTCTTTTCACTGTGCAGCAGTAACTGAGCGGGTAAAGGGGTTATCACATCTAGCGACAGTTCCTGCTAGACGGGACTTTTCTGAGAAACGAGATTCTGATAGCACTGGTTTAAGCGGAAGGATTCCTAGAAAAAACAACTACGCTGGAAGCGAAGTCCCACCTAGCTACGGAAACGACGTACCGGCTATGTGGGATTTTTTGAAACCTCGCCGAAAATGTTTCGGCTGCAGCTCTATTCCGGGTAGAGATCAACCAATCAGACAAAAGCTTCTGAAGGATCATGTGATCCCAATTTGAACGATAATCGATTACTGTTTGGCGTTCAAGTCTTTGTAGTAAGTGAAATGGTAACCTAACTTCATAGGTTTCGTGACTTAGCCACGTAGATAGCGGAAACATGTGATTGAAACGTTAAGTGCTAGTCGAAAAATAGGTTACTTGTACGTTCGATAGAGTCAAAATGGTCATTCTGGGACGCAATTCCGGAAACCTGAACGGTTCTATCTCATCACATTTTTTTTTTTTTTTTTTTCCAAAATAAGCATGTTTTTCACATATATTTGAGATACGAAAAAACTAACAAATTACAGAAAAATATGAAGTGTTTTTTTTTTTTTTTTATAAAAGATAAACATCAAATGAGATTAAAAAAATGAAAGAACAAAAGGTGCTCAGAAACGTCTCGTATAAAGATGCCTCAGAGTTCGGAAAAAATATGAAAATATTATAAATTTTGTAAAGAATCGGGGGGGGGGACATTCCCCTCTGAAAAATATCAAAAACTAATGATTTTTCATTTATTTAGAAACATTTTTATAATAATTCGAATATAAAAAGAACGATACTGAGTAAATTAATTTCTTGTTTTTTTATATTTAGCAAGGTATTTTTTCTTACTTCTCTAATAAAGTAAATTACATTCGTGCTAAAAAAATAAGCGACAAACGCTGAAAGGTACGGATGTAAAAAGGGGAATTAAAACATACAGTTTACATATGAGGTAGAGGTTGCGTCTCCGAATGCAAATAGGCAGCCGAAATTAGCGTAAAACGCAATCCCGCAGTCACGACACAACACCTTAAAAATGGGCATGCCGTACCCTATGCGTGAATTCGCTAGCAGCGATAAGTCCATGTCATCCGAGATAACCAAAGCGGAAAGCATGTACTGAAGACACCATTTATATGATGAAATGTCTTGGAGGGCTGTGAGGATGTTGCAAGTTTGTGCAAGATAATCCGCTGCTGCGAGAGAGCTTGAGGTACGCGCTGCCGCTACAACCTGATCGAAGTGTGCATCGAAGTGTCGTCAATAGGCTCTAGAATCATTACCAAAGCTATCAAAACCCCTGTAGACGTAGGTCTGACGCCAGGGGATTACCACAAAGGCAGACGATCGCTTTCTGTTGTTATATGCAAGACGCCGTAGATCACGAGCAGCAGAGCGGCTGGAGTCGAGTCTGTGTGCTGCTGCAGGACGGTCCGTATCCCACTATACTGTGTCGAGTCGACTGGACGAAGGTGGTCTGTACACCCGACGACCTGCGTTTTGTGTTCCTTTGTAACTATCGCATGTCAGGGTTGGGCCCGTGAACATCGCAGATGGACACCAAAGCAGTTGGTCCACGTACACTTTACAGATGAGTCGCGATTTAATATCGAGAACGATCTCCAAAAGGCAAAGACATGGCAAAAGCCAGAAACACGCTATCGAGCGCCAAACATCGTGGAAAGAGACCATTACAGAGCAGAAGGCTTACTTGTATGACCTGAGATAGCAATGCTGTATCCATCTCTACATGTTTCTTGGTCGCAGCCGTCCCATATTGCGACGAAATTCTACACCCTCTTCTGCGTCCTTTTATCGCTGCAATAGGTGTGCGCGATATCTATGGACGATAACGCTCGCCCGCATAGAGCTCAGGTGGTACGGAGTTGTCTGGATAGTGAAACCATTCCACATCTGCCATGGCCTACTAGATCACCGGACCGGAATCCCATACAGCCTGTGTGGGACATGTTGGGAGGGCGGATAGCAGGTCGCAGGAGGCCGTCAGACATTCTCCACGAACTTCTACGCAGGAATGGTTGCTACTGCCACAGCAAGCGTTCATACCTTTGTTGCTTATTTTTCAGTGGAAGTGTATATATTTTTTCTGAGTTTGATTTCTTAATTTATAATGAGTGCTTATTCTTGAATTATTTAAACATATAAATTCTTCGTGGTGAGCTAAATGAAATTAAATTATGGAATATAATTTTCCATATTTTAAGTAATTTATCATGCAACCTGTTTTTCTATTTGAGTTGCTAGTAATGTCTAGAAAAACTTCAAAGGGTCTATTCCGTTCTTTATTACTAAAATCCCCAGTATATTTTTCAGAAGGTTTTGGTATTCCATTCATTGTAAAGCATCATATCTAAATTGCCAAACATTAGACTACTTTTTGTATAATTATCAGTTCTTTCTTAAATCTTCAGCAGATAAAGTGGGTATAAAAGATTTTTATTTGTTCTATGAACTTCAATAATGATTCCAATAGATGTCTATAGGTTTGTCAGATAATAATAAAGTATTACATAAGATATCTGTTTTAATTTTAATATATATACTAAAATTAGTGATAATTATTCACTTTCTAATTTATAATCAGGATTTGCAACATCTTTATATAACATATTTTCATTTTTTTTTAATTCAATTTTCATTTCAAAACCTATAAATATTTTTAACAATGTTTAGAAAATAAACATTTTATTTAATAGCGTCTATTTTGTTATTGTTTAACTATTTTTTGTTAATTTCTATCTTTTATGAAATCCTTCGTTATAGTTTTCATTTTCTGAAACTTATTCAATTCTAGGTGTTTGGGCTGTCATTGTTCCATCATCTTGAGCGATGTATTTTATTCTATCAGTAATGTGATTCGAGTCAAAATAACAAAACACATAAAAAAATTAGAATTAAAGAATTACATAGCAGTCCAACAGAAGGCCATTTTGCAATACTGAAGACTTTTGCACAGAGCTCTAGAGCGCTTCTACTGGAGTAATGCAAGGGCTGACGTGCAAAAATGGTGCCAATCAAGCGATGCTTGTGCGAGTCGGAAAGGACCGAAGAAAGCTGCAACTTTACAATGTAAGTAGTGTCTTTTGAGCGCATCGCCTTTGACAACCTATTACTTCTGCGACGAACTGCTGATGGCAACAAATGTATACTTGTTGTTATTGATTACTTCAACAAGTGTCCTGAAGCGTATCTTATTCCCGATCAAGAGGCTGTCACGGTAGCAGAGCTAATGATATAGCATTGGAGTTCGAGATTCGGAGTGCCTCATCAGTTACATTCCGGTCAAAGAAGAAATTTTACCTTGGCTATTATTAAAGAACTCTGCAAGCTACTCGGCATCAACAAAACCCAAACGACGCATTTACATCCCCAGTCAGACGGCATGGTACAGTGGTTTAATCGAACCATCCTTAATAACCTGTCGCTAGTGGCTTCCAGAAACCAACGGGACTACACACATATACGCACATACATACATACATACACACTTGCATAGATATACACGTTTCCTGAATCCAGTCCCGATAGTAGAAGAGTTCCTTTTCTTTGCAAAAACTGTATTGCAGACTTTTCGTCATTGGGCAATTCCTAAATTGTTAGATCTGTAGCGTTTTCAAAAAAGAATTCCAAAAATTAAAACAGTAACTCGATGGCGAATTAAAAAATGTAGAACTGTCTAAATTTACTCGCGGTTAAATGGGCACAACATACGTTAAGTTATATATCAGACTTCTAATCCGTACATTCGTGCTTCTCAAAACAACAACATGTATCGCCTGCTGCCAACCAAGACTATATGAGTATCTCATAATTAACGATTCATTTTTAAAAGAAAATGCTCACACAAGATAGATAAAGTTTTTGATGGAAAAGCAGCAGACAATTTCCTGCATTCCTCGAGACACAGAGTTCACGTACTGTATAATTTAAATGATGCTACGCAATATAGCATCATTCAGTAATAGATAGTGACATCAACAGTAATTGAGTACATGTCTAGTATACGGTTTAATTTTTTATTTTTAAAATCAAAATATTAACTATTTTTAATCTGCAACCGTAACCTTCCATATATACTTTTTCCAATAAACAATAGTAGCTCTAAGACGTCACTTCCCATAATCCAGTACTGTCTTTCTTGCCATCAACAAAATATTTATATTAATATAAATTCTTCCTCTCCAAAAGAAATTTACCGTTGTTAAATATTGAAAACATTTTACATCATGGAGAAAGAAAATATGAATCAAGGTCCTGACCTAGAAAGAATAGGACTGTTCAAAGAAATGGGATACATACATGAATATGTTCCAGTTAAAATATGTAAGCTGATATTTTCATTTGTATTATATGATCTACTGGATGTACATATTTTACTAACTCGAGCACACGACATCAGGCACCTATTGCCTTAAGCCTTTTTAATGTATACAAACAGAGCTACATACTCTGTTCACAAAATTCCTTATGCGGACTTTTGCAACCATTGGTCGTAGACATAGACTTCCAATTACAAAAATGTTCCAAAAGATCCAAAGATTCGTGTTTTTGTATTTTTGTAATTTAAAATTACGAAATCTAACGCTTTATATGCTTTTCCAGTCCCTATATTTAAATTTAGGACAAGATTGTATAAGGTATTTCTCCTGCCTTCTTCGCATGCCTTCATGGTGTGGTGGTCTGCACACTGCGAGCGTATTCCAGAGGTCCCGGCGAAGGCGTTGCTAATTTTTCAACTTTCTTGCTTCCAAATAACCTAATAGTTCTACCATTGTACTCGATATAAAAAATTAAACAAAAAAACATTTTTTTCTCGTACGACAAAAATTGACCGACGTATTTAATTTCAAAATATACAATACCTGACGTCATTTTGAATTTTCATTGAGGTGTCGGTTACTTAATAATTTGGAATAATTCGAGGTTGATTTTTTTCCCACTTAAATGGCATTCAGTGGAATTCTTTTGTGATTTACCAGTGTCTTTAATTTATGATTTTGTTACATATGGCACATTGAAAGAATTTCCACACAAGTAATTTATTAAGTTTTTTAAGTCCATATATATGCTGTTAATATTCTCATGAAATTTTATTACTTTAGAATCATAATCTAAAATTCATTGAACAACAAATATATTAATTTTTAATTAATGAAAACAGTATTACAAGTTTACTACGTACCAGTACTGAAGCCTGTCAGTGTATCCTAGGATAAGAATTGTATAAAATCATGTAAATAAGATTCCCATTAAAAAAAGGGGACGAAGTTTCCCGTCGAACTTTTGCGGAAATTTCGGCAAAGGTCGCCCGTCGCCAAACATTCCTGCTTAATTCTTAAAGGCATGGTCATCCATAATTCTTGTTAAATCACTTGATTTGGCCAGTGGAGGAGATTAATATGCGAATACCAAAAAATTATATTGTTCAAAATTTTCATAATAATGCATAAATACAATGTGCATATATATATACTAGAAAGCCCGGCGGTCATACGAAATGACCGCTGTTTTAGATATTGTAAATTGTAATTAAAATGACTTGTGCAAAGGTGTCTGCTAATTTAAACTGAATTACCCAGGGCAGGCGGGGAGGACGCCCCTTTGCTTATTGCCCCACGGGGTTTCCCCCTTCTACTTGCTTAATTGCTTAAAGTAAAGTGCAATGAAGGAAACCACTGGCGGTACATTTCTTAAGAGCCACCGCTAGCTCAGTCAATAAAGGTGATTTAAATAATGAAATGTTAATTCACACGTCAAAGATCTCTTTGTACACAACATTTCTTGTGTAGATCTTTCCATCATTTTTAAGCTCGCCTTGCAGAGGACCATCCATTATTTTTAATTTTACGTCCGTTCTTTCACGAGCTCTTGAACAGGCAACATAAAGTTGACCGTGTCCAAATGCAGGTAAAAAAATGCCAACACGCTTAAGTGTTTGGCCCTGAGACATATAAACGGTCATAGCAAAGGCAGTTTTACAGAAAATTTTCTACGTCTCAATTGAAACGGCAACCCTGTGCCGTGGCAACTTCACCCCATTGGCTAGTACAGTTACGCAAGCAACCAATAAACTATCGGCGACAAACAGACACTTATGCCGCATATATATATGGGGTGAAGAAACATTATCTCCTCCGAATCGGCTGCCTCCCGGGCTTAGCGGAGCACATCGTTGGATTCTGCAAGGTCCGTGGCACGCCATTTTTACCATTCGCGTCTTCTTGGAACTTTAATTAGCCGAAATATTAATTAAAAACTAATTTTCCCCTACGTTTTCCCTATATTTTCTTCTTTCTTTCTTGGGTTTTTCCCTATTAGAGGGATTTGGCTACGTGCCAAATTCTTTTTCTCGAATATCTATGGAACGGCGCCGAGTTGAAATTCGAGACGCGTATCCTCGGATTCCAAAACATTCTCCGAATCCATCGATACCGTTCTCATCTTCGTACGACTATAATCGGCCAAAATATTAATTAAATACTGCGGAAATGTTAATTTCCGCTCTCATTTTTCCGAGTGGCAACAATAAACTATCGGCGACACACACTTTAGCCGCTTATATATATATTACTAGAAAGCCTGGCGGTCATACGAAATGACCGTTGTTCTAAAATATTATAAATTGTAATTAAAATGATTTGTGCAAAGGTGTCTGCTAATTTAAATTGAATTACCCACGGCAGGCGGCGATGACGCCCATTTGCTTACTGCCCCAAGGGGTTTCCCCTTTCTACTTGCTTAATTGCTTAAAGTAGAGTGCAATGAAGGAAACCATTGGCGGTACATTTCTTAAGAGCCACCGCTAGCTCAATCAATACAGGTGATTTAAATAATGAAATGCTAATTCACATGTCAAAGATCTCTCTGTACACAACATTTCTTGTGTAGATCTTTCCATTATTTTTAAGCTCGCCTTGCAGAGGACCATCCATTATTTTTAATTTTACGGCCGTTCTTTCACGAACTCTTGAACAGGCAACATAAAGTTGACCGTGTCCAAATGCAGGTAAAAAAATGCCAACACGCTTAAGCGTTTGGCCCTGAGACTTATAAATGGTCATAGCAAAGGCAAATTTTACAGAAAATTTTCTATGTCTCAATTGTAACCGCAACCCTGTGCCGTGGCAACTTCACCCCATTGGCTAGTACAGTTACGCAAGCAACCAATAAACTATCGGCGACAAACAGACACTTATGCCGCATATATATATGGGGTGAAGTAACATCATCTCCTCCGAAATGGCTGGCTCCCGGGCTTAGCGAAGCACACCATTGGATTCCGTAGGTCCGTGGCACGCCATTTTGACCATTCGCGTCTTCTTGAGACTTTAATTAGCCGGGATATTAATTAAAAACTAATTTTTCCCTACGTTTTTCCTACATTTTCCACTTTCTTTCTTGGGTTTTTCCTATTACAGGGATTTGGCTACATGCCAAATTCTTTTTTCTCGAATATCTACGGAACGGCGCTGAGTTGAAATTCGGGACGCATATACTCGGATTCCAAAAAATTCTCCAAATCCATCGATACCGTTCTCATCTTTGGACGACTTTAATCGGCCGAGATATTAATTAAAAACTGCAGAAACGTGAATTTCCGCGCTCATTTTTTCGATTGGCAACAATAAACTATCAGCGACACACACTTTAGCCGCTTATATTTATAAAGATATATAATAACAATATAAGCAAAAGGAAAGAAGGACTATTAAGAATCCTGCGCCTAAGCTGCAATGATTTAATCAAATGAATGAAAGGGAAATATTAAAATTCCAAAAATTCCAATTAAAATTTAGAATGTCAATAAAGAAAACTAAGAATTACAATTTGAAGACTACATCAATTCCAATCTACAAAGTGTAATAGGAAAGGGAAGTAAGAAAAATTAAAACCATAGATTATAAGGCATTTCTCCCGCCTTCCTAGCGTGCCTTCGTGGTGTAGTGGTCAGCACACTGAGCCGGTATTTCAGAGGTCCGTGGTTCGATTCCCGGCGAAGGCGTTGCTAATTTTTCATCTTGCCTGCTTCTAATTAACCGAATGTCTCTACAGTGGCGCCCGAACTAAAAAAGGATGTTGGACGATGATTATCCTCACCCAGGATTTGGCGATTGGGTTCCCTAAAAATCCCAATCGCCCTTTAAAAGGGGGAGTATATAAGGTATTTCTCACGCCTTCTTAGCGTGCCTTCGTGGTGTAGTGGTTCTGTACGCTGGGCCGGTATTCCAGAGATCTGTGGTTCGATTCCCGGCGAAGTTGCTTGCTAATTTTTTGTCTCTTCTGCTTCCATAAACTAACCTAATGTCTCTACAAGGTAAAATAAAAATTGATTTTATTTTAAAAGAATTTGAAATGTTGTAAAAGAAAAAGTGACAGATGTAACAAATTCTCTTACAAGCACTAACTAATAGTAGAGGAAATGCATATAAATTAAGTTGCAAAAATTTCAAATTAAAAAATATACCAATATCATAGAAAATTAAAGAAAAATGAACAATTGTAAAGATAGCGAAATAATACTGACTCTTAGGGGGAATTAGCTTATTTCACACTCTTCCCAACTACTCAGACATCGTTTCGTCCTTGCCATGCATATGTAGATTCAAAATTACATTAAATAATCATTTCCCCAAATTTGGCTAATCAAATACATGTTAAGAATTCTCCCCATACGATCTAAATCAATTAAAAAAATATTTATAACATTCATATAAATGAAAAACATTATTCAAAAATGAAAAAATCGTTAAAACAATACACAAGTATTAAATCTATTATACTATCAAAACATTTCAATGCAAATGTAAACAAAAGGAGTACACCTTACATTAAAAATATTTAATTAAATGAAATTGTCATATTTAAAATAATAAATTGGACCAGAATAATTTTAAAAGCTATAATAAACTTACTCAGTCATCATACTTGGTAACTAACAATAAACAAATCCCAAGAGCAAGCGTGTTTGTCTGTAGTTGGCAAGTTTCAGAGAACAATAAATATTAGGCAGGTGAATAATAGAAGTTAAGGCATGGCTAGACAGCGCGACTAACTATTAAACCGAATAAACAAGAAATTCCTTTCTAAAATTTCTGACTAAAAGTCATGAAACAGAAAATAAGCTAGAGAAAAAGATAAAAATCTTCACCCAAAACGAGCTGTAATTGCGACTTAAGAAAATAGAATAGCTGTTGGTTAGTAAAAGCTTAGAAGCCAGAAAAAGAATATTATACATTTATACATCGTACTGTTTTACATTTATACAAATCTTCCAATCTAAACCATCCAGCTTTACCCTCCTTTATTATAAAGGCTTCAGATAA